GAAAAGGACCGATTTGTACAAAGTATGTTAGCGCATTGGCAGCCACTTAAGCACGCTCGCCGCGAATGCGACGGGCCAACTGGATGTCTTTGGGCATGATGGTGACACGCTTGGCATGAATGGCGCACAAGTTGGTATCTTCAAAGAGGCCAACCAGATAGGCCTCGCTAGCTTCCTGCAGAGCCATCACCGCCGAGCTCTGGAATCGCAGGTCAGTCTTGAAGTCCTGAGCGATTTCACGCACCAGACGCTGGAAAGGCAGCTTGCGGATCAGGAGCTCGGTACTCTTCTGGTATCGACGGATCTCACGCAGGGCAACCGTTCCAGGGCGATACCGATGGGGCTTCTTCACGCCTCCGGTGGCTGGGGCGCTCTTGCGAGCGGCCTTAGTAGCCAGTTGTTTGCGTGGCGCCTTGCCACCAGTCGATTTCCGAGCGGTTTGCTTGGTACGGGCCATTTTCGAGTTCACTGCTGTTCACGTTCACTTCACGTTTCAAAACACAATAAACGTTAGCTGCATTTGCAACCTACTTATATAGCAAAACGAGGAGGATTGAAAAGAGAGGGAAGAAGAGGGCATCTCATTTGTCGAACAGAGAGCGGAGAGCGAAGAGCGGGACGCACATATCGTTCGGACTCGCTCGTGTTTCTGGGGTTTTAGGTATAAATAAGAGTTCGTCGAAAATAAGGAATTAGTTCTTCAGTGACTTTCGTTTCGTGCAGTGTGTTAACAGTAGAAAATAGTGAGTTATGACTGGTCGCGGTAAAGGAGGAAAAGGCTTGGGAAAAGGAGGCGCCAAGCGTCATCGCAAAGTGCTGCGGGATAACATTCAGGGTATCACTAAGCCAGCAATCCGCCGTTTGGCTCGTCGCGGCGGTGTAAAGCGCATCTCGGGACTCATTTACGAGGAAACACGTGGCGTCCTGAAGGTGTTCTTGGAGAACGTTATCCGCGATGCCGTCACCTACACCGAACACGCCAAGAGGAAGACTGTCACAGCCATGGATGTTGTGTACGCCTTGAAGAGGCAAGGCCGCACCCTATACGGCTTCGGCGGTTAAAAAACTAGTACAGCTTGTACTTCATTCAGCAATCGGTCCTTTTCAGGACCACCATTCAAATTTTCGAAGGAGAAAAAATTCAAATAATTTTTTGATTCATTGGCCTACTGACCGGGAACTCGAAAGTTGATACTGCATATACATATTGCATTAAACCAAAATGAAATTTCAAATGGGAGGTTCAGGTTAGTGTTTTGTAGAAGCTGTACCGCTTGCAGATACAGCATTAAAGGAAATGCGTCTTTTTGGCGACGAACTTCTTAGAATATTCCAGATCTTATATCTGACCAAGTGCTATAGGACCAACGCATATACAAAACCTACTTCTGTTTCCCAATCGATATTTCAACGTATTTTCTTGTTTTAATAATATGATATACGTATTGGAAAATCTTTACTTCTTTGGTAAAAACTTGGTCGTCCTGAAAAGGACGGTTGGGTTTGTTTTTTATGTACAAGTATGTAATTGGCTCCGCATTTAAAACGTTTAAGCCTTCTTCTCGGTCTTCTTGGGCAACAGAACAGCCTGGATGTTGGGCAACACTCCACCCTGGGCAATGGTGACGCCGGAGAGCAGTTTGTTCAACTCCTCGTCGTTGCGGATGGCCAGCTGCAGATGACGAGGAATAATCCTAGTCTTCTTGTTGTCACGAGCAGCATTGCCAGCCAATTCGAGAACCTCAGCGGCCAGATATTCCATCACAGCAGCCAGGTAAACTGGAGCGCCGGCCCCAACTCGCTCGGCATAGTTGCCCTTGCGGAGCAAACGGTGAATACGGCCCACTGGGAACTGAAGACCGGCACGGTTAGAGCGGGACTTTGCCTTTCCCTTCACTTTGCCACCTTTTCCACGACCAGACATTTTTCTTTACGAGTATTTCACTTAGTTCACTTTACACACTGAAAACGAATGCTCGACGAGCCCCGGGTAGCCACATATTTATACTTTTGCGTCTGCCTGCGCGTTCATTTAGGGGTGGGTGCCTTAGACCTGAAAACATTGCTCGAAAAAAAGTATAAAGATGAACGCGCTTGGGCACCATTATGATCAGTGAGTTGTGTTTGTGAAATCATAAGTGAAGTGAATAATGCCGCCGAAAACTAGTGGAAAGGCAGCCAAGAAGGCTGGCAAAGCCCAGAAGAACATCACCAAGACCGATAAGAAGAAGAAGCGCAAGAGGAAGGAGAGCTACGCCATCTACATTTACAAGGTCCTGAAGCAGGTCCACCCTGACACCGGTATTTCGTCGAAGGCGATGAGCATCATGAACAGCTTTGTGAATGATATCTTCGAGCGCATTGCTGCAGAGGCGTCTCGTCTGGCTCACTACAACAAGCGCTCGACCATAACCAGTCGGGAGATCCAAACGGCTGTTCGCCTGCTCCTGCCCGGAGAGTTGGCCAAGCACGCCGTCAGTGAGGGAACCAAGGCTGTCACCAAGTACACCAGCTCCAAGTAATTTACTCTTGCTGCGTATGGGGAGAAAGATCCAAAACGGCCCTTTTCAGGGCCACAACACATTTTACCAAAGGAACTTCATTTTCAATATACCATTTGCCAATCAAATTCGTGATATAAGTTCAATTTGAGTTTTTTTTTCTAAAGAACTTATTCTGGAGCTTTATAGTATAGTTATTAAATCATGGTCATCTATTGATAACGAATTTCTGCAATGCTAGTCCACGAACATTCTGTGACTTGCATTTTAAGATTCTCTGGTACAGCTGCTAAAATCAATGCAGCCACACTTATGTGAAAAAAATGCTAACGGCCTAACAAGATAATTGGACAAGTGAAATGTACTAAGTTTTAAATTGAAAGTTCCTTTCTCTTGTTCACGAACGTTGTAGCCCTGAAAAGGGCTTATTTAAACTAATTTCAGATTTCGAAATCTAAAATAGCGATTGCGAGCAGGTACCAGGTACTGTACTTTTGCACAATTTACTTCTTGGCCGCCGTAGTTTTGGCTTTCGGCTTTTTAGCAGTAGCAGGAGCAGCTGCTTTCTTCACAGCCTTTTTAGGCTTAACAGACGCCGCTGGCTTGGCCTTTGGTGCTTTCGCCGCCTTTGCCTTCGCTGCGGTCGACTTGGCCTTCGCTGCTGCTGGCTTCGCCTTTACGGTTCCAGTTTTCTTGACATCCTTGGCCTTCGCCTTCTCGGTTTTCTTCTTCTCTGCGGTCTTTTTGGTGGCAACAGCCTTCTTAGCCTTGGGCTTCTTGTCGTCAGCTCCGGCGGCAGCTTTCTTGGCGGTGGATCCGGTCTTCTTGACGGCTACCTTCTTGCTTTTCACCTTCTTCTCAGCAGACGCAGGCTTCGGCTTCGGATCCTTCTTGGCGGAGGCCGACAGTTTAAATGAGCCAGACGCCCCCTTTCCCTTTGTTTGGATCAGCTTTCCATTTACCACGGCCGATTTCAAGTATTTCTTGATGAATGGAGCAAGCTTCTGGGCATCGCATTTATAGGTGGCAGTGATGTATTTCTTGATTGCCAAAAGCGATGAGCCGCCACGTTCCTTCAAATTCTTGATGGATGCGTCCACCATTTGTTGAGTTGGCGGATGCGATGGCGGGGCAGCAGCCTTTTTCACCTTTGGGGCAGCGGATCCAGATGCCTTTTTGGTGGCCACCTTCTTCTCAACTGGCGCTGACGGGGCAGCCACTGGGGAAGCGGCCGTTGCAACTGCAGATTCAGACATTTTTCTTCACTAAAATACACTTTTTCGTATAGAAAATGGCCCGCGCGCTTATTGCCAACCTCCTTCGTTCGGATGAGAATCGAGGAGGAGAGCACTTTAACTGTGCGTCTGGCATCAGGCATTTGCTCTGCTAATGTTTGTTTGAAGTGCAGACATATTTTCTTGTTTTTAGTGCTTAAGATCCTAAAATGTAATAATCATTTTATTGTTTTACATTCTTAAATAATCTATTAAGTAGGTAATGTTTTCAAAACGTTAGTATCTGGTTTTTGCAACCTTTTATTGCCGAATCAACTTCAACATAGACATTCGTAACATGAGCAATTTTTTTAAAAACCCATTTTAAAATATGATTTCTTAGAAATATTTTGTAACTTGCTAATGAAAAAATAAATTTGAACCTTTTACTTAAATAAGTACTACAATTAAATTTACTTATCTTTAGTTTAGGTATTTTAATTCATGTTCCAAGTTGTCCCTTGGCTATGTACAAAGTTGGCTATCAGACTACTTTCGGCAATCGATTTCGGACTGTTAAAAATATAAATAATTTAAAATATTGTATTTATATGATGTTTTCTTAGATATATCATGTCTTTGCTTAAGACAATCCAGCTTTGGATGCATGTTTATAAACAGTTTTTACAAATTTTGCTAATTTGTGTTTCATATATGAATCCCATTGAGGCCGCACTCGAGTTAATATTTAAGAAAAAAATGTAAAAAGTATACTTAATAATATTTTTCTTGTTTTTTATAAAACATTATGCATTCATTAACGCATATGATTTATTTTCAGATAGCGTTTAAAAGTTTTTCGATTTTTTGTTGGTGCTTAAATGTCTAATGTTGATCGTGGTAGTCCCACAAAACCCTCTCGTTCTAAAAACATGCCGACATTAGTAATGAAATTTTTTCAAAAACGTGATAAAATTAAAAGTACAACAGTCAAATTGAATCTATTCTATTAAATAAATCTGATATTACAAAATACGATATATAATTTCTGGAATATATATACCTATTAACAGTTTATTTTGTGACCCATATATATAAATATCGTGGAGGTTGCACTTAGCATTAAAAAGACAATGTAAAAAATTTATTTTTTATTCTGTTTTTGTTTTATTAAGCAAATAGATTCATTAGCCTAGCTAATTTTTGTTTAGTTTTTGTCTGATGCTTGAAAGTCTTGACCATCCTTGCCGCATAGCAGCTCCATCACATTAAAAACCCCACCCAATCCTAATCGAACGACGAGTTCCGACTATTTATTAATTTTATCAAATCACTAAAAGTTACAAACAATTAATAATTTCACTTACGAAGGAACGGGACGAAAAGTTAATTTCTTTATTTTAAGGTTGAAGCCTGCAGATAAAAATTAGTATCTCATTGATTGAAATTTGTGGTCCTGAAAAGGACCGATTTGTACAAAGTATGTTAGCGCATTGGCAGCCACTTAAGCACGCTCGCCGCGAATGCGACGGGCCAACTGGATGTCTTTGGGCATGATGGTGACACGCTTGGCATGAATGGCGCACAAGTTGGTATCTTCAAAGAGGCCAACCAGATAGGCCTCGCTAGCTTCCTGCAGAGCCATCACCGCCGAGCTCTGGAATCGCAGGTCAGTCTTGAAGTCCTGAGCGATTTCACGCACCAGACGCTGGAAAGGCAGCTTGCGGATCAGGAGCTCGGTACTCTTCTGGTATCGACGGATCTCACGCAGGGCAACCGTTCCAGGGCGATACCGATGGGGCTTCTTCACGCCTCCGGTGGCTGGGGCGCTCTTGCGAGCGGCCTTAGTAGCCAGTTGTTTGCGTGGCGCCTTGCCACCAGTCGATTTCCGAGCGGTTTGCTTGGTACGGGCCATTTTCGAGTTCACTGCTGTTCACGTTCACTTCAGTTTCAAAACACAATAAACGTTAGCTGCATTTGCAACCTACTTATATAGCAAAACGAGGAGGATTGAAAAGAGAGGGAAGAAGAGGGCATCTCATTTGTCGAACAGAGAGCGGAGAGCGAAGAGCGGGACGCACATATCGTTCGGACTCGCTCGTGTTTCTGGGGTTTTAGGTATAAATAAGAGTTCGTCGAAAATAAGGAATTAGTTCTTCAGTGACTTTCGTTTCGTGCAGTGTGTTAACAGTAGAAAATAGTGAGTTATGACTGGTCGCGGTAAAGGAGGAAAAGGCTTGGGAAAAGGAGGCGCCAAGCGTCATCGCAAAGTGCTGCGGGATAACATTCAGGGTATCACTAAGCCAGCAATCCGCCGTTTGGCTCGTCGCGGCGGTGTAAAGCGCATCTCGGGACTCATTTACGAGGAAACACGTGGCGTCCTGAAGGTGTTCTTGGAGAACGTTATCCGCGATGCCGTCACCTACACCGAACACGCCAAGAGGAAGACTGTCACAGCCATGGATGTTGTGTACGCCTTGAAGAGGCAAGGCCGCACCCTATACGGCTTCGGCGGTTAAAAAACTAGTACAGCTTGTACTTCATTCAGCAATCGGTCCTTTTCAGGACCACCATTCAAATTTTCGAAGGAGAAAAAATTCAAATAATTTTTTGATTCATTGGCCTACTGACCGGGAACTCGAAAGTTGATACTGCATATACATATTGCATTAAACCAAAATGAAATTTCAAATGGGAGGTTCAGGTTAGTGTTTTGTAGAAGCTGTACCGCTTGCAGATACAGCATTAAAGGAAATGCGTCTTTTTGGCGACGAACTTCTTAGAATATTCCAGATCTTATATCTGACCAAGTGCTATAGGACCAACGCATATACAAAACCTACTTCTGTTTCCCAATCGATATTTCAACGTATTTTCTTGTTTTAATAATATGATATACGTATTGGAAAATCTTTACTTCTTTGGTAAAAACTTGGTCGTCCTGAAAAGGACGGTTGGGTTTGTTTTTTATGTACAAGTATGTAATTGGCTCCGCATTTAAAACGTTTAAGCCTTCTTCTCGGTCTTCTTGGGCAACAGAACAGCCTGGATGTTGGGCAACACTCCACCCTGGGCAATGGTGACGCCGGAGAGCAGTTTGTTCAACTCCTCGTCGTTGCGGATGGCCAGCTGCAGATGACGAGGAATAATCCTAGTCTTCTTGTTGTCACGAGCAGCATTGCCAGCCAATTCGAGAACCTCAGCGGCCAGATATTCCATCACAGCAGCCAGGTAAACTGGAGCGCCGGCCCCAACTCGCTCGGCATAGTTGCCCTTGCGGAGCAAACGGTGAATACGGCCCACTGGGAACTGAAGACCGGCACGGTTAGAGCGGGACTTTGCCTTTCCCTTCACTTTGCCACCTTTTCCACGACCAGACATTTTTCTTTACGAGTATTTCACTAGTTCACTTTACACACTGAAAACGAATGCTCGACGAGCCCCGGGTAGCCACATATTTATACTTTTGCGTCTGCCTGCGCGTTCATTTAGGGGTGGGTGCCTTAGACCCCAAGAAGGCTGGCAAAGCCCAGAAGAACATCACCAAGACCGATAAGAAGAAGAAGCGCAAGAGGAAAGAGAGCTACGCCATCTACATTTACAAGGTCCTGAAGCAGGTCCACCCTGACACCGGTATTTCGTCGAAGGCGATGAGCATCATGAACAGCTTTGTGAATGATATCTTCGAGCGCATTGCTGCAGAGGCGTCTCGTCTGGCTCACTACAACAAGCGCTCGACCATAACCAGTCGGGAGATCCAAACGGCTGTTCGCCTGCTCCTGCCCGGAGAGTTGGCCAAGCACGCCGTCAGTGAGGGAACCAAGGCTGTCACCAAGTACACCAGCTCCAAGTAATTTACTCTTGCTGCGTATGGGGAGAAAGATCCAAAACGGCCCTTTTCAGGGCCACAACACATTTTACCAAAGGAACTTCATTTTCAATATACCATTTGCCAATCAAATTCGTGATATAAGTTCAATTTGAGTTTTTTTTTTCTAAAGAACTTATTCTGGAGCTTTATAGTATAGTTATTAAATCATGGTCATCTATTGATAACGAATTTCTGCAATGCTAGTCCACGAACATTCTGTGACTTGCATTTTAAGATTCTCTGGTACAGCTGCTAAAATCAATGCAGCCACACTTATGTGAAAAAAATGCTAACGGCCTAACAAGATAATTGGACAAGTGAAATGTACTAAGTTTTAAATTGAAAGTTCCTTTCTCTTGTTCACGAACGTTGTAGCCCTGAAAAGGGCTTATTTAAACTAATTTCAGATTTCGAAATCTAAAATAGCGATTGCGAGCAGGTACCAGGTACTGTACTTTTGCACAATTTACTTCTTGGCCGCCGTAGTTTTGGCTTTCGGCTTTTTAGCAGTAGCAGGAGCAGCTGCTTTCTTCACAGCCTTTTTAGGCTTAACAGACGCCGCTGGCTTGGCCTTTGGTGCTTTCGCCGCCTTTGCCTTCGCTGCGGTCGACTTGGCCTTCGCTGCTGCTGGCTTCGCCTTTACGGTTCCAGTTTTCTTGGCATCCTTGGCCTTCGCCTTCTCGGTTTTCTTCTTCTCTGCGGTCTTTTTGGTGGCAACAGCCTTCTTAGCCTTGGGCTTCTTGTGGAAGCGGTGGATCCGGTCTTCTTGACGGCTACCTTCTTGCTTGTCACCTTCTTCTCAGCAGACGCAGGCTTCGGCTTCGGATCCTTCTTGGCGGAGGCCGACAGTTTAAATGAGCCAGACGCCCCATTTCCCCTTGTTTGGATCAGCTTTCCATTTACCACGGCCGATTTCAAGTATTTCTTGATGAATGGAGCAAGCTTCTGGGCATCGCATTTATAGGTGGCAGTGATGTATTTCTTGATTGCCAAAAGCGATGAGCCGCCACGTTCCTTCAAATTCTTGATGGATGCGTCCACCTTTTGTTGAGTTGGCGGATGCGGTGGCGGGGCAGCACCCTTTTTCACCTTTGGGGCAGCGGATCCAGATGCCTTTTTGGTGGCCACCTTCTTCTCAACTGGCGCTGACGGGGCAGCCACTGGGGAAGCGGCCGTTGCAACTGCAGATTCAGACATTTTTCTTCACTAAAATACACTTTTTCGTATAGAAAATGGCCCGCGCGCTTATTGCCAACCTCCTTCGTTCGGATGAGAATCGAGGAGAAGAGCACTTTAACTGTGCGTCTGGCATCAGGCATTTGCTCTGCTAATGTTTGTTTGAAGTGCAGACATATTTTCTTGTTTTTAGTGCTTAAGATCCAATTTTTTTAAAAACCCATTTTAAAATATGATTTCTTAGAAATATTTTGTAACTTGCTAATGAAAAAATAAATTTGAACCTTTTACTTAAATAAGTACTACAATTAAATTTACTTATCTTTAGTTTAGGTATTTTATTACATGTTCCAAGTTGTCCCTTGGCTACGTACAAAGTTGGCTATCAGGCTACGTTCGGCAATCGTTTTCTGACTGTTAAAAATACAAATATTTTAAAATATTGTATTTATATGATGTTTTCTTAGATATATCATGTCTTTGCTTAAGACAATTCAGCTTTGGATGCATGTTTATAAACAGTTTTTACAAATTTTGCTAATTTGTGTTTGATATATGAATCCAATTGAGGCCGCACTCGAGTTAATATTTAAGAAAAAAATGTCAAAAGTATACTTAATAATATTTTTCTTGTTTTTTATAAAACATTATGCATTCATTAACGCATATGATTTATTTTCAGATAGCGTTTAAAAGTTTTTCGAATTTTTGTTGGTGCCTAAATGTCTAATGTTGATCGTGGTTGTCCCACAAAACCCTCTCGTTCTAAAAACATGCCGACATTAATAATGCAATTTTTTCAAAAACGTGATAAAATTAAAAGTACAACAATCAAATTTAATCTATTCTATTAAATAAATCTGATATTACAAAATACGATATATAATTTCAGGAATATATATATTTATTAACAGTTTATTTTGTGACCCATATATATAAATATCGTGGAGGTTGCACTTAGCATTAAAAAGACAATATAAAAAATGTATTTTTTATTCTGTTTTTGTTTTATTAAGCAAATAGATTCATTAGCCTAGCTAATTTTTGTTCATCGCGCATGTAATATTTTTTAGTTTTTGTCTGATGCTTGAAAGTCTTGACCATTCTTGCCGCATAGCAGCTCCATCACATTAAAAACCCCACCCAATCCTAATCGAACGACGATTTCCGACTATATATTAATTTTATCAAATCACTAAAAGTTACAAACAATTAATAATTTCACTTACGAAGGAACGGGACGAATAGTTAATTTCTTTATTTTAAGGTTGAAGCCTGCAGATAAAAATTAGTATCTCATTGATTGAAATTTGTGGTCCTGAAAAGGACCGATTTGTACAAAGTATGTTAGCGCATTGGCAGCCAATTAAGCACGCTCGCCGCGAATGCGACGGGCCAACTGGATGTCTTTGGGCATGATGGTGACACGCTTGGCATGAATGGCGCACAAGTTGGTATCTTCAAAGAGGCCAACCAGATAGGCCTCGCTAGCTTCCTGCAGAGCCATCACCGCCGAGCTCTGGAATCGCAGGTCAGTCCTGAGCGATTTCACGCACCAGACGCTGGAAAGGCAGCTTGCGGATCAGGAGCTCGGTACTCTTCTGGTATCGACGGATCTCACGCAGGGCAACCGTTCCAGGGCGATACCGATGGGGCTTCTTCACGCCTCCGGTGGCTGGGGCGTTCTTGCGAGCGGCCTTAGTAGCCAGTTGTTTGCGTGGCGCCTTGCCACCAGTCGATTACCGAGCGGTTTGCTTGGTACGGGCCATTTTCGAGTTCACTGCTGTTCACGTTCACTTCACGTTTCAAAACACAATAAACGTTAGCTGCATTTGCAACCTACTTATATAGCAAAACGAGGAGGGTTGAAAAGAGAGGGAAGAAGAGGCCATCTCATTTGTCGAACAGAGAGCGGAGAGCGAAGAGCGGGACGCACATATCGTTCGGACTCGCTCGTGTTTCTGGGGTTTTGGTATAGAAAAGAGTTAGTCGAAAATAAGGAATTAGTTCTTCAGTGACTTTCGTTTCGTGCAGTGTGTTAATAGTAGAAAATAGTGAATTATGACTGGTCGCGGTAAAGGAGGAAAAGGCTTGTGTTACGTGGGCATATTATTTCCCGAGTCCTGACAAGGACTTGGGCCGAGGGAGAGGCGTCCGATATTCAGGCACCATTTGCCGGCATAAGCTACGTCGTATTCGGGTCGTGGGATCTTGGTAAGCCTCTCTCCTCTCCAACATAACGAGAATAAATATTAAAAGTGCCTGGAAAATAATATTAGTCATAAAGTTCGTCAGTCATCAGTCCACACTGCCCAACAAGCTTAGCTGTCGCTTGATCGCAATACGATCGGGCTGTGTTTTGGCCATATTCCCTCCCTTTCACACATTTGTGTGCCAATGGATCGTCGCGGGCCGCGCAATACGATCCCCTATTGTCAAGGTTGTCCGTCAAAAGTTATGTCATTGTTCTTGACGTACTCCACTTCTCGCGTCAGCACACCCCCTTAGTGAAGCTCTAGCACACCATGGTTTCGAATTCTTTTTCACATTATAAGTTTATTAAATAATATTTATGTCGGCGTGTGCCGGGGTTGGGTAACATAATATTGGCTAATTCATATAGGGAATAATTTAATTGACAATTATTGTATTAGCGGAGAGTATCGACTTTACCACCTGTGAAGGTGCACACATCAGCAAAATGCTGACTATTCACGACTACAAACGTCGCTCAGAGGGCTCTTGCAATTGTACATACAACTACAAGGCTGATACTCGCCGCTGAAAAATTAACATTTAATTATTACGTATAAGAAAGGTATAAAAAAGAAAAGTATATCTAAATGATTATATATATGAAACAATTATTATATATGGATATTATATATTATTACATGTATTCCTAACAGATTAATTCTTTATCTTAACTAGGAAAGTATTAACATTGCCCAAAAATAAATTCTTATCTAGACGGGAGAGGACAATGACCGTTGGAACGGTAGAGATAATGATAGCCTTTTCGGTCTTATTACAGTGGGCAAGTGGTGAAAAATCTAGACGGAAGGTCTCAATATATAAGTACTCCAATTCATTCACTTTTATTGGTAGGGTCGCTTTTGATAACAAGTGTAGAATTCTTACGTTAAATTGTGGATCAGTGTCTATTGTTTTTGCTAAAGCTTCTGAGGTAATCATGGTGCACGGATATATATATATGCATTGTGTTCCGACGAACTTACCCTCCTGGCGATGAGATCTTGACGCTCCGGATCCTGGGCTTTGTGAGATTTTATAATTGGTTTATAAATATATATACGTACAAGGCTTGAGGGCGGCTTATAAAAACAAAACACAAAAATTACGTTACACAAAAAAAATAACACTATCGCTGTATAGATATGTATGTATGCATGCATCGTATGAGAGTTCCACTGCGGCGCACGTCAGTTCCAATGCTCGAGCTGGGGCTGGTCGGTGCAGCTCCAATTTCTTGTTCACGTATGTATTTGATGGTTCTGTTTACACTTGCATTCAGAAATGCATGTATTCGCAAATTGTTTGTAATTGTTTTTGGTGATTTAGTTTTTGTTAATTGTGAATGCAGTTTATTTGCCTTTTATTGGTTTTTATTGTCTTTATGTTGTTTCATTTCACTGCAACTGCTCGGCTTATGCTCCGATGTGGGTCACCAGGGCGTGATGTTGGTCGCGGCGTCTCTGAACAGAGCGCTTGTACATCTTAACAACCTTAAGGATCACTAGGGCTAGGAGTAGTCCAACGATGAGCTTTATGGTCCTGTTGACATTTTGGATATCTTGTGGTCAACGATCTCTACGGTGTTAATTACATTGGCGGTGCTGCCGGCCACTTTGGACGTTTTGCTGCCCATCTTGGGGTTCTTAGGCCATGCACTTGGTTCACTAGTTCTGTTCGTCCTTCAGGATTTGTTGCAGGTTGACTTCCTCTAGAATGTGGTCGATCGCAGGACCAGTAATCAGGACATTCTCCTGAGTGAAGTTGATCCTAGGGAAACGGTCAAGACATCCTTCTGGACACCAGCCTTCGTCCAGTCGTGGTCTGTGTTGATGATAGTTGTACTTCTAGACCACTGTCAGGGAGAGATCAGAACAATTTCTGTCTGACTTCTCTATTTGGCTGGGGTCTTTTATAGCGGACTAGAGCTTTCGCTAGCTCCCCATATTGGATGAGTTAACTAAGTGTTCCCACCTAGGGGTACTGTTTCTCTATTTCCCCTATTTTAGGAGTCAACGGCCGGCTGGTGCACTTTGCCACCTTACTAGAGTACGGTTACAAGCAGGTCGATCGCGGTCGTTGTTCTGGCCACGCTACACCCGTGAGTTGTCGATTTGTTTTTGCTGATTTGCCCTTAATAATTAGAAGGGTGTTAGTCATTAGGGCCCCTAGCCTCAACTTAAGACAGCTGTTAATCTTTGTATGGGGAGGGCGTACGTAACAGGCTCGAAGTGATCGATGTGACTACGCATGGAATGACTTCGCAAAAGAAATCTTCGTACGGCCATTCTTCTATTTATTCATCTTCTCCCTTTTCCTTTTTCTTAGGCGCCCATTTACGTGTGGCTTCGACCCACTACTTTAACCCAGTCTCAGATGAGCTAGTCGGGCTTATTACTATTATTGTGTTATTGTTACTATTTTTTTTTATTAAAGATATTTATTGCTGAAAACGAAAAAAAGTTTTCCGGCCTCTCACGGAAACATACATACAAATTATGTTTTTTGCTTCGGGATATATTAAAAAAAAGCGATTTTTATTTTAATATACAGCGGAGTTTTTATTGGTAAAGTTCTTTCAAGTTAGATCCCCAATCTTAAACTGATTTTACAAAATGCATTATTCTTATAACTATGGCTTTTAGCGGTGACAGCGACGCGAGCAGCGAAAGTGGACTTTGATTGAGAATTTTGATTGGTCAAATCTGTGGCCCGATAAAATGGTTTCTAGGCTGCATCTTTTGTTTAATTAATTTGGATTGGCCAAAGCTTTTATGCTGACGAATGGGTTCTCAGGCTGGACCCTTTGTTTAAATGTTTGAATATTGTTTATGTCTACCGTCGTCGATAAAGGCGTGAGAAGTGTTTATAATTCTGGTGCTCCCGATTGAAGGCGTGGGAAAGATTTGTGTCTGAGGGGTTAAATGTTTATGTCGGATTGATTTGAATAACTGCGATAGTAGGCTCTGGACTTATGTTATTGACAATTGGAACAATGGGTATCGCGGGATATACAGGTTGTAGGTTGGGTTTGGTATCCAGGGTATTTGCGTATACGTCACTCGCCCCTCCTTTAGAAGATTCAACATCCTTGTTGAATTTAAACAAAATTTCTTTTTTCTTGGCTAGGCGCCTATAGGTAAATATGATATAAGTAGTAATGCTTAAAAGTATAATTATTAATATTGTAAAAACAATCCACTTATAAATTGATTCTTGTTTTTGTTGATAGGTAATAGAGTTTTTAAATTTTAACAATCGTATTGGTTCATATAAAGTAATATTAGTGCTGGGTAATATAATTTTATATTCTTTTATGTTCTTTGATGTTGTAATTTTAATATCTCTTATTTCTAAAGTACATTGACTTTATTGTATTATATTGTTACCCTGAATTGTTTTGTTGAACATTTCGCAATCTTGATTAATTTGTGTCTCTTTTAAATTATAAGTAATAATGATGTTAGACTCAATATATTTTAAAGATTCATTTTCTGATACAAAAGTGTGTTGACATTTCGCAAATTGATTAGTAAGGATTTGAGAGATACATTGATCATTCATTTCTGATACAAAAGTGTGTTGACATTTCGCAAATTGATTAGTAAGGATTTGAGAGATACATTGATCAGTGATTATAAATTTTTGGTCTAAAATATTTGCTAATGAATTTGGTGAATTTTCCAAGTAAAATACTTTCTTTTCGTCATTTACAAAATATTCATAATTATCATTTGTATCAATTTGTCGGCCCATATGATCTAGATATTTTATAATTCTATATTTTTGTGTTTCTTTAAAAGAAGTGGGTATATGGGCTAGAATAAAAGTGCCTTTAGTTTGACTGCTTAACCAAGCTGAAGTTTTGATTGAGAGTAATTTTTCTTCGTTTATGTTCTCCAACTCTTCATGTTTTAGTATTTTAGGATTTAATATTCCAACTCTTGTTAATTGTAAACTCATTTGTAAATCTTCAATGTATTCTAGGAATATATTTAAGGAATATCTAAAAATGTGCAAAGCTTTTTCTTCTTGTTTATCTTTCACGAGTTTGCTTATATCTTTTGATTGTTCATTTATTATTTAAATTATTTCATTAAATTCTTTGTTTTCAATTATCATTTCTTGTAAGTTTTGTAGTTTATCTTCCAACTCTTTTTTATCATCTTCAGTCAATGTTCCAAATAGATACTTGTGAGCTGTCCCTAAAAAGTTAATTAATCCCCGTTTTTGTCTCGATGATGAAGTAATTCCCTTGATTTCATGTTTTAATTGTTTCAATGTTAATGCAATGTCCGGTACATTTTTAAATTGGTTTTCGTATTTTATAAATTCCTGGTATGTTTCAAATATTTTAGTTTGATTTATTTTAATCATATGATGTTCATACTTTAGAGGTATTTTTATAGTCCCTGTGTTCAGAAGTAAATAACCGTTGTTCGAAGTAATGGGTGTAATGCTAATTTGTTGAGCTGTTGTCAATGGTATTTTCGTCCATGTCACTATCATGATCATTTTCATTATCAGAATCAGTACTGTCAGTTTCCCTGGAATGAGGAGAGAGATTTTGTATTTTAGCTTTTTTAAATTTACTTATGTGTTTTACTACTTTATGACCCTTATTAGTTTCTTGCCAGTGCTTTTCGTCTTTTTGTTCTCACGCTCCTGACTTTTTGAATGGGTTTACTAATTTAGCTTTACGTTTCATTTCTTTTTCGACTTTAGTGTATTCCAGATCTACTTCATGTTCCTCGCGGTGTTTATTAAGTTTATCTATCTTATGTTCTTTTTGTTTTTGCATATTTTTGCTTGGTTTTATTCCATAAAGAAATATTTCA